CGCATGCTATAGGTAAAGACGCAGCGCCGGTGCGGAATATCTGCTTCGTGTTGACTAATAGGTAAGACACACCGTTGTTGTGACATCGCTCTCTCTCTCTCTCTCTCTCTCTCTCTCTCTCTCTCTCTCTCTCTCTCTATATGTGTTTGTGTGTCTATAAGCATATACATATATATATATTAATACAATCCATTTACATGTGTTTCAATTTACATGCGGTCTGAGGGGGTGTTGTGCCAAAGACTATGCAGTATAATGTTGTTACGTATGGCTATGACGAGCAGAGATCTCCGCTTACTGTATTTTATCACGTTCGCCGTAGAAGGAATGGCTTTTCATCTTCCTCGTCATCTCAACGAGACGTCCGTAGCTAACACAGAGTCAACATCCTCTGCTAAAGTTCTCTCATAGCGCCATTGGAACCCGGCTCGCGCTGTGATTGGTCCGCGGTTACGTCACCGCGGGGAGCCCGCACCGCGGCGCCACGAGCGCCGCGAGCAGCTGCGAGGCAAAGTGGGTAATACGCGAGCCTACTAAGACGTTATCGGGGCGTTCGTCGAGGACGCTAACGTTATAGAGCGTCAGCTGTGTCGAGACCGGGGGCGCTGCCAAGTTTAAACCTGCTGTTAAGCTCGGCCGTCGAAACAAATCCGGCGTTATTCTACATTCGCACGAATCCTCGAACGTTCGGGAAATCCCGAGCGTAGCTTCGGGTAACATCGGGAGCTCTTCGGGTCTTCGTGTTTAACGCGCGCGCATTGGTGTGCGACTCGCTGCGATGTGACGTTAGCCGATGTCGCTAGACAGTCCAAACCTTTTTAGCGCCCCATATTAGTGCAGCAAATATGCGAAAACATATTGCGGGGGTCCCAGACGATCCTTGATCTGCTGAGACGGATGTGAGCGCAGACGTTGGCTGGGAACACCGTTCCTTCTATTGGTGATCATCGTTAAAGCACACATCGATGTATATTAAGCACACGTATCTCTGTCGAATTCCTCACACAAGTGTTATTCCGCTTCCCGTGCACCGATTACAATCAAGCTGTTTTCCCCGGGGGGTAGAAAGAATCATCTCGGCAAAATATGGTGCTCTTAAAATGCCGATTTCGAACGGAAGAAGATGTCGAATATGGAAATTTCGAAGTGAGTTAGTTCCAACCATCGCCGCACAACGTGGGTGTGGCGCTGATGTCGGCTACTGCGTCATCGTGACGTCACGCGTTTCTACCGTGTCAGGAATCGTGACAGAAATGACGAATTATTTTTTTAATACAGTATTTTATGTTCAGCGGGGAATAACTACTAAATCAACTATTGAATAACGGTGATCGAACATCGATAATTAGTATTGGTAGAGGCAATGACTTTCGTGATCAATAAATCTGTACGTAACGAGATGCAGTTAAAGACAGTTTTCTCGATGAGAAGAAATAAGTGGCCATTTCCTGTCCGAGATGACCCGGATGAATGTATCAGGGTCACTCACTACATCCGGGTCATTAACTACATCCGGGTACCTAGACATGACACAGGTGTTAACGAACCTTCATTCCAAAAAATGTGTGACCATCACCGTTGTGCTGAGTCGTGTTTGCTAAATAAACGTGGTTATATTTTCCATTAAACATCCTCTCTGTGTATTTACAATTATTCAGTCATATGTCTCGATTATTGTAGCTGTATATGTAATACATTTGCTGTGTGTACTATATATATTTATATGTATGTGTGCGTGGGCGGGGGTGCTGTGTGTGTGTGTGTGTGTGCGTGTCGTGTCGTGCGTGCGTGCGTGCGTGTGTGTGTGTGTGTGCTT